CCCTACTGCTCAACTTTGGGATACAAAAATATTTACAAAGCCCAGTGAGGGGCTGGCACTGTGGCACAGTGGGTTAACGCCCTGGCCTGCAGTGCTGCCATCCCATATGGGCGCCGGTTTGAAACCTGGCTGCTTCACTTCTGATCCAGCTCTCTGCTATGGCCTGGGAAAGTAGTAGAAGATGGCCTAAGCTTTTGGGCCCCTGTGCCCGTGTGGGAGATCCAGAAGAAGCTCCTGGCTCCTGGCTTCGGATCGGTGCAGCTCCTGCCATTGCGGCCAACTGGGGAGTGAACCATTGGATGGAAGACTTCTTTCTTTCTCTCTGCCTCTCCTCTCTCTGTGTAACTCTGACTTTCAAATAGATAAATAAATCTTCAAAAAAATTGTTCTAAAAAAAAAAAAGCCCCGTGAACAGGAATATTCATTTAGAAGAGAGACATAGCTTTGCTATACAGTTATACAGGATAGTGTGTGGAGATTGGGGTTGGGTGGCCTGTTTGGGTGTGACGTGGGAGCAGAGAAGCATGACAAGGAGGGCAGGGAGGAAAGGCTGAGAGTGAGGAAGTCTGAGATAGGAAATGAACTGACAGTTGATTGCCATTCTATTATAAGAAAATCAAATCACCAATTAAAGATTTCTTTAGCCCTTCAATCAGGCCCCCTGAAGGAAGGAGTGGGTGCTAATCAGCTACTTTAATCAGCAACTTAATTATACATTTAATAACTTCCACTTATTGAATACTTATATGTGTCAGTCACACTGCTGAAGTGTTCTAGGGTCTAAGAGTTTAAGCTCCAGCAATTCTGCGAAGTAGGTATTTTTATTGTGGTAGAATATACATAATTTAACATTTTAACCATTTGTAAGTCTACAGTTCTGTGGCATTAAGTATATTTACATTATTGTTCAAACATCCAGTGAAACAGATTTTTAAAGAGGTTTTACTGATGTTCAAACTTAGTCTCAGAGCATTTAAATACTTTGACTATTAGTTGGCAACAGATTCCATGTTTGCCAACCTCCAATTCCATGCTCTTTTCCTATAGCACAAAGTGCCTTAAGCAGAGGTGACTTGAAAGACATCTTTAGGAATCATAAATCTAGGATAGGAACCTAAAGGACTCACTGGTCTCCTGAGAAGAGATGTCATTTGGTAATAAAAAGAGGGGTGATGGGAGGTAAACAGCTAGCTACATAACGATGCTGAGACCTGGATTCAGCTTTTTGGACCAAACAGTCCTACTTGTTTCTGATTTTTGCCATGTCCATAAACTGTGCATGTGGTTATTCCAATAGACTTGCTTTGTTTTTCAATGTAATTTTATAATGTTACTTCACTGGAAAACTAGCAGTAGTGTTATTGGTCATCCATAATGTAAATACAACCATAAAAATAAGTATAATGAGCATAAACTCCACCTATATATGATTGCCTTTAAAGACATAATTATACGACATTGAATCTTTCTTCTGGACATAATGGAAGGGTTAGAGTATATTTGGTGAGCAAACTTGCCGCAGTGTTCTACTGGGGACTGTGGTATGGGTGGGCCGGAGGGGAGTGGAACTGGAGAGTAGGAAGTTGTTAGGAATGGAAGCGGCCTTGTCTGGAGGTGTTTGGATCTCTTCCATGATATCCCTGCTCCTTCCTACTTGCCTACTGAGTTTTTTCCTCTTCCAACTTGGCTCTGGTGTGTTCCATTGGCTAACTGGCTCAGTCTCTCAGTTCCCCAACTGGATTGACCCAGCTAATTTTTCCAAACCAAGCTTTTTAAAATGTAGGTCACCAGCTAATCTGTGACGCACACCCCTGTGCCAGTCCAGTCAGCCATGGTGAAGGTGACCAGTCACAGACGAGGGCACTTCTGCAGCCTTGTGCAGGGGGGCATTGCAGTGCCCCTGGGATGCCTGCGGCCCATACCCGAGTGCCTGGCTTTAGTTCTAGCCACTCTCTTGCTCATGCAGCTTCCTGTGTGGGTGGCGATCTGGACCCCTGGTTTTGGCATGGCCCAGGCCCCCCCACAGTTGAGGGCATTTGGGGAGTGAGGGAGTGGATGCGAGATCTCTCTCTCTCTCTCTCTATTTCTCTCTCTGTTTCTCTACCTTTCAAATAAACAAAAATAAATAAAAATTTAAAAACTCTTTTAAATTTCATGGGAAAATGAAATAAAAGATGTTTGTTTTGGTCCAAAAATATTAAAATCCATGTGTTATCTTTTCATAATACACATCTTTTTCTGTTTCCCCCCAAAATTTACTTTATTTATTTGAAAGGCAGGGTGACAAAGAGGGCGAGACAGAGAGGAAGAGATCCTTCATCCACTGGTTTACTCCCCAAAAGGCCACAGCAGCAGGGGCTGGGCCAGGCTAAAGCCAGGAGCCAGGAACTATATCTAGGACTCCCATGTGGGTAGCAGGGGCCCAGGTACCTGGGCCATGTTTTGCTGTTTTCCAGGGGCCATAGCAGGGAGTTGTTTCAGAAGTGAACCGGCCGGGACTGAAACTGGCACTCCAGTATGGGATGATCATGGGCAGCAGCTTAACCCATTGTGCTGCAGTGCTGGCCCCCTTAATACATATTTATAAAAATTTTTTTTTAAATTAGTTTTTAACAGATTCAATGTGCTTTGCAGATGCAATTCTAAGAACATAATGATATTCCCTTCATAATACACATTTTCAATGACCGCTTGGAAGTATCCTCATGGAATACACCCTGGATAAGTAGGGCAGAAGGTTGTGATGGGGGGATGTCAGCACTCCTCTCTTCACCCAGCAGCTACTGCCCTTGTGCCATGTGCAAGACACGACGGAGCCGGGGTTGCAAAAGAGACTGACAGGGCCCCTGCCACCTCTCAGAGGAAGATGTTCTGTGAACAAGGGACAGGATAAAATCACAGCTCAACGCGAGGAAAGAAACAAACGCTGGGGCTGACTGGGTTGATGGCATAGGAGACTTCTCATAATGGGATGGCGCCCCAAGCTTCCTGGTGGAAATGAGCTTTGAGCTGAAGCCTGTGGGAAGATCATAAAAGCCCTGCGGTGAGAAAGAGCTTGGCATAGTTGACAGAAAAAAGGAGGGGGGGGCAGGGGATGGAGGTAGATGATCGGCGTAAGGGGCGGACGGAGTTTGGAGCTGGCACTGGGGAAGTGGGCAGGGCTCAGGTGATAGGACGTTTTGTGGACCAGAGCAAAGGGTGCTAGGCCCAGAATATTAGAGAAATGAAGGGAAGGTATGAAGAACCTCAACGGGGGGAAGACTCAAGACAACGGCAAGAGGGTGGTTTGGTGATGTTGAGAATGTCACATCCCTGAGAATGGTTTCCATTTATGATACTGCTGAAGTTTAGGGACATTGGTTACCCCTCAGTGCAGTCAGTGACAGGCGACTACTGTGCAGTACCTGTTAGTATCGTGTAATGCAGATGCTACCCGGAGAGGAGATTACACTTAGTTACCATGTCCTCTATTATCCTCTCACAGCAACCTCTGAGCTAGGCTTTTTTTTTTTTAAGATTTATTTTATTTATTTGAAAGAGTTACAGAGAGGTAGAGACAGAGACAGAGAGAAAGGTCTTCCATCTGATGGTTCACTCCCCAAATGGCCACAACGGCAGGAGCTGGGCTGGTACCTCAGCCAGGAGCCAGGAGCTTCTTCTGGGTCTCCCACGAGGGTACAGGGGCCCAAGGACTTGGGCCATCTTCTGCTGCTTTCCCAGATGCATTAGCAGGGAGCTGGATAGGAAGTGGAGCAGCTGAGACTTGAACTTATGCCCATATAGGATGCCGCTGCTGCAGGCTGGGGCTTTAACCTGCTGTGCCACAACACTGGCCCCTCTGAGCTAGGTTTTATTAGCTCTGTTTTATGGATTAAAAAAATAAAAAATCAGAGAAATTAAGAAATGTGTTAAAGTTACCAGCTACTCAGTAGCTGGCTTGGAATTTGAGAGGAAATGTATGACCTCTAAACCTGTTATTATCCTTTCATTGCGTGTTCTACTTGATTATATAAGTCAAAAGACTAAGGAAAAGGTATAAATGGTCAGGTGTTTGGCCTGGTGGTTCAAATGCCATTTGGGTCACTCACATCCCATATCAGGGTCCCTGTGTCTGAGTCCCGGCTCTGCTTCCCATCCCAGCTTCCCGCTGAGGGCACCTTGGGAGGCAGCAGTGGATGGCTCAGCTAGTTGGGCTCCTGTTGCCCAGTCACAGAGGGGGTGCAATGTCGGCTCTCTTTAGATGTCCTTTTGGGGGCCACCACGTTCCATTTCTGGATTGTCATCACCCAGCGGAAGGTCCTCTTGTGTTATAGCTGCCTGTGTACAGTTCCAGCATCTCTTTCGAGTTTAACAAAACCCTCACAGAATGTCCTTTTTCCTTCCACTTGTATCCTCACAGGTATCTGCGATTTTAGTTGAAGGAAGGATTGCCCAGCAATCATGGAAAGAAAATAAATAATTTCTTTCTTTCTTTTTTTTTTTTGAGCAGCGGTGAGACTTCTGCGTGACTCCCAAGAGGTATTTCTTAAGTGAACAGAGCAAAGGTAGTCATTTCATAACAAGATTGAAAGACGGTGAGCTAGAAGCCGAGCCTGGAAGGGGTGTGTGTGTGTGTGTGTGTGTGTCGCAGCAGCACTTGCTGGATGCTTGGACGCATCTGAATGCTGTTCTTCGTCGGCCACAGAACGAGCACTTTATAAGATCGGTTCTTGCCCGGAATGAATGGCGAAACGTAGAAGCTACAAAGAACCCCAACAGCTTTCCGGGAACACTTAACCAGGTGCCCAGAAACTCTCCCCAAGTCAGGGGGCAGTTAGAGGCCTCTTTTGGGGCGAGTGGGGACGAGCCTTGGGCACCCCCTCTTTCTTTCAAGGGCCGGCCGCTAGGCGGTGCCAGGAGCTGGCAGCCCACCCGCGAGGCGCCCCGGCTCTCCCCCTCGCCCCACGCCGCCCGGCGGAGAGACTACAACTCCCGGGCTACTCTGGGCCACCGAGGGGGAGGGGTGCGAGGGCGGGCCTTCCGGGCGTGTGTTTCCGGCGTCAGCGGCCGCGGCCGGGGACGGTGTGAGAGCGGTAAGATGGCGGCGGCGGCGGTGGTGGAGTTCCAGAGAGCCCAGTCTCTACTCAGCACCGACCGGGAGGCCTCCATCGACATCCTCCACTCCATCGGTAAAGGTCGCCGCGCCGCCTCCCGGGTCCCGCTGGCCCAGCGCCGCCTGTGCGGGTCGGCGGCAGCAGAGAGGGGCCGGACTAGCCGGCTCCGGTGCTGCTGACTCACTGTGTGTGTAAGGGGGCCGGGCCGGGGGCACAGGCCGCTCGGAGCTCCCCGGAGCCCCCCGGGGGCCACTGGGGTGGGGAGTCAACTCGCCGGCTGCTGACTCACCGCGGGCTGGGCATGGGGTGGGAGAGTGGGCCGGGGGCCCCCATCTCTGCTCAGCCTGGTCCTTGCTCCGGCCCGCGCGAGCTGGCCCGGGACTAGCAGCGGGGCCGGCCGGCGGGCTTGTTCGGGACTGGTTTGAGAGTTGAGAGGCCTTGGCACTGCCCGCTCGGGACAGGCATTTCCCGCCGTTGTTATCGGCGCAGCCTGCTCGGGGGTGGGAGCGCGATCGCTCGCTGCTCCTCTCTCGGAGTTTGCTTCCGCGGGACGTTGCGAGTGGGAGCTGCTGCTACTCCCCGGCCCGGGCAAGAAGGCTCCACTATGAGAGGGCCGCTTCCTGAGTGTGGGAGACACGCGCCTCGGGCTGGCCTGACGTCCCCCTGCCCCGTGTAGCGTGTCCGAGCGAGGGGTGCGGGTAGGACCGCGCGGCTGGAGGAGCTGACTGCACGTCCCCGGCTCCCTCTTGGAGGCTAGAAGTCAAGTTCAGGGAAATCGCTGTCCGCCGCGGAGTTCAGGGAACTCCGGAACCCGCCGGCTGCACAGTGCCCCAGAAAATTAAAGAACGTTTTCTTAACTCTGTAGTGTGACTGTTGCACCTGCTCACAGCAGGAGAGCCGGCCAGTCGCGTCCTGCCGAAATAGGTGCATCAGGACACAGAAGGCCTTTGGGTTCGGTTAGGGCATGGGCTGACTCTTCACTGCGCGTGTAGTAATGAGGCTTGAGAAGATGCGGGTCGGATCAACAAGTAGTAAGAGTGCACGTGCGTGGGGGACTTCCAGGATGCTGGCGTTTATTTTGACTTATTCTGTGTGTTGTTACTGTAGCCTTGCAAGATCTTGATGTCTTTGTCCTGGGGTGGGGTGGGGGGTGTCCTGGGGAAGGTGGGAAATCAAGATGCATCTCTGAATGATTGGGGGGAAGGGTGTTTGGTTTTGAAGTTTTTAAGTCAGTCCCAGCTACAGAACCAGTCATGGCAGTCTCTGTTAAATAAGTGTTTTTATCCAGTGTGTACACACTACTGTGGAAGCATGGATTTTACGTTTTTTTTCTGTGCCTAGTGCCCAATATTTTTTCTTTGATAAAGTAGAAATTGTGGTAAACGTGATGATGAGTGTTTCTTGCTTTACCGCTCCACTAGAGGGGAGCGTCCTGAAAGCTTCCTGTTAGAGAGAGCTTGAGTCATGGTGGCTGACATCCTTACTTTTTCCCGACTCCATCATGGAGTATCCAAATCTTGGTTTTTGTCAAGTCATGATGCCTTGCTAGAGAAGTACTGACTGGTGATGATCTCTCAAATTATCCTCACCAACTTGAAGAGGTTGTTGGCTGTTTGAGTTTTAGGATAATTATTAACAGTTGGAAGTGGGACAGATGGCACCAAGTTATTTTAACAGGACCTGGTCCACTATTCGGCAGCAGTCTCTCCTAAGTGTAACTGCAGGGTCACACTGGTGCTTTTGATGGGCTAGTTTTTCCTGAGTGGCTTCGTAGAATTGTTTGTCCCTACTCACTCCTCAGCTGAAGCTTTCCACAGACGTGAAGTTACGGAAAGGTTCCTGTCTTTATAGTCATCAGTAACTTGGACATTTGATTTTAGTTTGTAGCAGATAAATGGACAGATATGTTTAATGTCTTCACATAACATAGTGACTACATGGGGCTTAGCGAAAGTATGAAACACTTGTTTTAATTTTGTTTCAACCAAGTGATCACAGCAGACGTCTCAGCATGTGTGGGTAAGGGAAGTGTTCTGGCTAGAATGAAAAGCCACACTCACAGAGTATATGTTTTGTGATTTTCCTGGGGCGTGTCCTACATACGTGTGATCATCTTGCTTTTTGTTTAAAGAATTTTCCCCCCTCAGTTCTCGAATTTGTCTTTTGGCGAATGTGTTTGAGTTGGTAAGGGGTCTGGTGAGGCTGACATCTCCTCCAGTTACCTTTCAGTCGGAAGTCTCAGCGTGTTTTCGTTTTCCTCTCCCAGTAAAGCGTGACATTCAGGAAAATGATGAGGAGGCAGTGCAGGTCAAAGAGCAGAGCATCCTGGAGCTGGGGTCCCTCCTGGCGAAGACTGGACAAGCTGCAGGTGAGTGCCGCAGGGGGTCGCTCCGCAGGAACCGGGGGCCTGCCTGCTTGTTGTGTTGGGGGGAAGGAGTACGGGACAGCATCTACCCCGCCACCCCCCGTTCGTGGGGGGTATGTTCAGTTTTATTTTATTGGCAACTTGTTGAGCTTCAGTATTCTAGCAGGAAGTTGAGGTGGCCTTTAAACTCAGTTGTTTCGTGGTAGAATTTTCTGCAGGTTAGGGAAAAATCCTATTTTTGTTGGGATGTGGTGATGTGTGGTTTGTTGCTGATTTTGGAATTCTCCCTGTTTTTCCTTATATATGGGCAGCAGCAGCCTTCAGTGATTTCATTGAGCAGTTCTGATTATTTAAAGTGGGTAGTGACTTTAGGTCTCTGACTAAAAAATGACTAGGGGTTTTGTATCCAAGTGACTCACTGTGTTTTTTTTTTCTTCTGATGCAGAATGAGTAAGACATTAGATAGAGTCTTCCCAAGACTTTTCCATTGGTGCCTAGGACTTTGTGCATATCATTGCCCAAACATTTTAATTGCAGCTCAGCTATTGGCTGGCAGGACTTGAGATGATATTCTCCTGATGGGTGTGTCCTTAGAATGGGCAGAGAGTTCTGTTGACAGGGAAGGGCCTTTGACCAGTGAAGCAGTAATAGTGTTTAGAGAGAACTTCTGTTTAAACTTAAAATGGGTGATTTTTTTCCCCCAACTTTTGAAAGAATTTAGAACTTACCTAATTTGAATGGATTAAGCTCTGATAAATGACCTCATGAATTACTTTGTTCCAATTATGTTATCAAAGAGAATAATGGGGACAGCTTAGCAAAAACTTTTTTAAAAAAGATTTATTTGGAAGGCAGAGTTACAGAGAGAAAGGGAAAGACATACACACACAGAGAAATATCTTCCATTTGTTGGGTCACTCCCTAGATGGCCACCATGGCCAGGGCTAAGCCAGAACAAAGCTAGGAGCCAGGAGCTTCACTCTGGTCTCTCACGTGGGTGCAGGGGCCCAAGCACTTGGGTAACCCTCCCTTGCTTTCGCAGGCACATTAGCAGGGAGCTGGGTCAGAAATGGAGCAGAAGGGACTCAAACCAGTACCCATATGGGATGCCAGAGCCACAGGTGGCAGCTTTACCCACTATGCCACAACTCCGGCCCCAGCAAAACTTCTTGAACTTGAAAACTAAGTTCTTTTCCCATTAAGGATAATTTAACTTACTAACTAGTAGGCTCAATAAATAGAAAGTTGAATAAAGATGTATGAAATGGTGAGGATATGTTTACAGGGTATCTGTGTTTGTCTCTTACATACCACTTGTGCGTATTTTTTTTTTTAAGATTTGTTTATTTATTTGAAAGGGTTATATGTAGAGAGAGACAGAGATCTTCCATCTGCTGATTCACTCCCCAGATGGTCACAAAGGCCAGTGCTGAAGCCAGGAACCAAGGAGTTTCATCCATGTCTCCCATGTAGGTAATAGGGGCCCAAATACTTGGGCCATCTTCCACTGCTTTCCCCAGGCTATTAGCTGGGATGTGGATCAGAAGTGGAGCAACCAGGACACAAGCTAGCTCCCATATGGGGTGCTGATGTTCAGGCGATAGCTTATCTTGATATAATACAATGTTGGCACCCATGAGTTCTTTTTTTTAAAATCCCATGTTTACGGGCCTGCGCTGTGGCATAGCAGGTAAAGCTGCCACCTGCAGTGCTAGCATCTCATATGGGCGCCGGTTCAAGTCCTGGCTGCTCCATTTCTAATTCGGCTCTGTACTACGGTCTGGGAAAGCAGTAGAAGATGGCCCAGGTCCTTGGGCCCCTGCACCTATGTGGGAGACCCAGAAGAAGCTCCTGGCTCCTGGCTTCAGATCGGCACAGCTCTGGCCATTGTGGCCAACTGGGGAGTGAACCAGCGGATGGAAGACCCCTCCCTCCCTCCCTCCCTCTCTCTTTATAATTCTGAATTTCAAATAAATAAATAAATAAATTTTTAAATAAAAAATAAAGTCCATGTTTAAATACTTAAAAGAAGGAACATATATAACAATATTTGAGTGCTAACTATGAACTAGATAGTTTTTTTTTTTTTTTAAGATTTATTTTATTTATTTGAAAGATGGAGTTAAAGAGAGAGGTAGAGACAGAGAGAGAGAGAGGGGTCTTTCATCCAATGGTTCTCTCCTCAACTGGCTGCAATGGCCAGAGCTGTGCCCATCTGAAGCCAGGAGCCAGGAGCTTCTTCCAGGTCTCCTATGCGGGTTCAAGGGCCCAAGGTCTTGGGCCATCTTCTACTTTCCCAGGCCATAGCAGAGAGCAGGATTGGAAGAGGAGCAGCCGGGACTAGAACTGGCGCCCATATGGGATGCTGGCGCTTCAGGCCAGGACTTTAACCTGCTGTGCCACAGCAGCAGCCCTGAATGTTGCTTTCTTGTAGTTATCCACTTAGGGATTATCAGTGATGTGTGGTGATTTTTTCATGTTAGGCAGACTTTCTTTTTTTTTTTTTTTTTTTTTTTTTACTGGCAGAGTGGACAGTGAGAGAGAGAGAGACAGAGAGAAAGGTCTTCCTTTGCCGTTGGTTCACCCTCCAATGGCCGCTGTGGCCAGCGCGCTGCGGCCGGCGCACCGCGCTGATCCGATGGCAGGAGCCAGGAGCCAGGTGCTTTTCCTGGTCTCCCATGGGGTGCAGGGCCCAAGCACCTGGGCCATCCTCCACCGCACTCCCGGGCCACAGCAGAGAGCTGGCCTGGAAGAGGGGCAGCCGGGACAGAATCCGGCGCCCCAACCGGGACTAGAACCCGGTGTGCCGGCGCCGCTAGGCGGAGGATTAGCCTAGTGAGCCGTGGCGCCGGCTAGGCAGACTTTCTTATTCAATGCATTTATTTATTATTATTTTTTATTTCTTTAAGTTTTAAAGCTTTTTATTTAGTGAGAGAAATGTGCAGGAAAGTGAGGGCTTTAATTAGGGGAGAAAGAAGTCCAGAAGGTAAGTTGAGTCCATACCAGGTAGAGAGCAGGCCAGGAGCCATGTGGAGCAAGCCTGCAGGCAAGAAAGCAGAGAGTGGGTGGCCCGAAGGCCACGGAGACCCACTATGTTCCAGGCCTTTTATTTACACCCAAAGTGCGAGTGGTTACATAGTCTGATTAGCAGGTGGGCATACAGGTAGAGTCAAGTAAGGGCATGAGATCACACAGGAGTTGTGGTGAAGGGCGTGGTCCCCAGGTTATAAATCTAATCAATTTTATCCTGTCTGCCTGCCTCATTCCCCTCAGAGACTCCAGACATTAATCTTTTTATTTTTTATTTTTTGACAGGCAGAGTGGATAGTGAGAGAGAGAGACAGAGAGAAAGGTCTTCCTTTTTGCCGTTGGTTCACCCTCCAATGGCTGCCACGGCTGGAGCTCTGCGGCTGGCGCACCGCACTGATCCAATGGCAGGAGCCAGGTACTTCTCCTGGTCTCCCATGGGGTGCAGGGCCCAAGTACGTGGGCCATCCTCCACTGCACTCCCAGGCCATAGCAGAGAGCTGGCCTGGAAGAGGGGCAACCGGGACAGAATCCGGCGCCCCAACCGGGACTAGAACCCGGTGTGCCGGCGCCGCAAGGCGGAGGATTAGCCTATTGAGCCGCGGCGCCGGCCCAGACATTAATATTAAGGGATGTTGAAGGGTGTAGAATCGTCATATCTTCTATAGCTGCTTCCTGCTAATAGGGGTGTAGCACAGGCCCTGCCTGTCCTGGATCTGGAAGTCTCCACCTATCTCATCTAATGAATTTGTTTTATGAGCTGGAGAATGGTCACCACCAGTGGCTGTGTCCCCTGCATGGTTAGTTATTCTTAGTTAATAGATTTATAGATTTCTTTTGCAATTTGAGCTTGTGAATTCCATAAGTTTTTGATAATTAGTTCATACTAAATATAATTAAGGTGATTTTTTTTTTGACAGGTAGAGTTAGACAGTGAGAGAGAGAGACAGTTATAGACAGTGAGAGAGAGACAGAGAGAGAAAGGTCTTCCTTCCGTTGGTTCACTCCCCTAATGGTCGCCATGGCCGGCGCTGTACCGATCCAAAGCCAGGAGCCAGGTGCTTCCTCCAGTCTCCCATGTGGGTACAGGGACCCAAGCACTTGGGCCATCCTCGACTGCCCTTCTGGGCCACAGCAGAGAGCTGGGCTGGAAGAGGAGCAACCAGGACTAGAACCCGGGGTGCCAGCGCCGCAGTCGGAGGATTAGCCAAGTGAGCCATGGCGCTGGCCAAGGTGATTTTTCTGAAGGAATTACAAAGCCAATTAAGTGATTTAAGGTTTTTCTGTTGAAATGTACAATTTTCTGGAAATATACAAGTTTACTTTCCTCTAGTAGTGAGGATAAATTAAATAGTCTGTAGTATACATAGTTAAGCCTTCTGTAGTTCGCATCCATAAATGTACTGTTTACTTAAATTTTTTTTTTTTTTGGACAGGCAGAGTTAGAGAGAGAACGAGAGAAAGGTCTTCCTTCCATTGGTTCACCCCCCAAGTGGCTGCTACGGCCGGCGCGCTGGGCCGATCTGAAGCCAGGAGCCAGGTGCTTCTTCCTGGTCTCCCATGTGGGTGCAGGGCCCAAGCACTTGGGCCATCCTCCACTGCCTTCCCGGGCCACAACAGAGAGCTGGACTGGAAGAGGAGCAACCGGGACAGAATCCGGCGCCCCGACAAGGACTAGAACCTGGGGTGCCGGTGCCGCAGGCGGAGGATTAGCCAAGTGAGCCGCGGCACCGGCCTTTTTTTTTTTTTTTTTTTAAAGATTTTTATTTATTTGGAAGGCAGAGTTACAGAGAGAGGTGGAGACAGAGGGAAAGAAGTTTTCCATCCACTGGTTCACTCCCCAAATGACAACAACAACTGGGGCTGGGCCAGGCTGTAGCCAGGAGCCAAGAGCTTCCTCAGGGTCTCCCACATGGGTGCAAGAGCCCAAGCACTTGGGCCATCTTCTGCTGCTTTTCCCAGGCTTATTAGTAAGG